CCTAGTGCCTCCTTTAGCCTGTGTGAGACTCAGTTTCCTCAGCTATGCAAAGGGGCTTTCCTATCAGTCAGTCAGTCTGGCCTCCCTATGGGTTCTCCGAGCCTCTGCCCAGTTCTGAAGGAGCTTTCTCAGAGTGCTGGATTTGGACAAAACAGAATGCACAAGAGGGGCGAAGTGACTCAGGCCACTGCAGTCGTGGGTGGCCAGTAATCTTGGAGAGCCGATGGAGGAAGGAAGCTGTAGGTGCTCGAGGCGCCACCCTACAGTGGCTGTGCAGAACCCCAATTTACGTGGATTCACAGGGCCTACCATGTGCAGGACTCGACTCTGCTCCCTCTGCTTTTCTGCTCTGCAGAATGCGTGAATATATTCACTTAGGGCTGAGGCAAAATGACAAGAAATTTGCTTTAGTTTGCCTAAGATCTTTCTCTCTCTCTGTCTCTTTCTAGTACTGGGGTTTAGACACTGAGCCCTTTTAAAATTTTTGATTTTGAGATAGGTTCTTGATAACTCACTATGTAGCTCAGGCTGAGCTCAAATTTACAATCCTCCTGCCTCAGCCTCCTAGAGTGCTGAGATCACCACTATGCTCTGCTTGCCTAAGATCATTGGCTCCATGTGGTCCTGTCCTGCTCCTTGGTGTCCTCAAACACCCCCTGCCTGTCTTCTTCATGTCAGGCTCTTTCTTTAAACACAGATCTCAAAGTGCTCTCAATTCTGCCTGGCAGTCTGGTTTCCTTAGTCACTACTTCATCCTTTCTTTACTATCTTCAAACTTCCCTCAGCCTCTTGGTCACTGAGAGGCCTCACCCCTCATCTTCCTAATGTTGAAACCACAAGTGAGCTTCTTCCTCATGAAGCCCATCCCCTTTCCTACACAGGCCGGTCAGTGCCTCCCTCTTGCCTCTCTACAACCTTCTCTCTTTTTAATCACCTCTTTCTCTTGCTCCTCCAGTCCCTTCCTCTCCTGTTATATGAATCATAATCTAGCCTCTCCTTCCTTGATAAAATGACAAAAACAAAAACAAAAACAAAAAACAAAAAAACACCAAGCCACCCCAATTACAAACAGGCATGTGTGTCTTCTAGGATTGCCTGTACTTCCTGCATTCCCTTGTTTGGTTCTCACCCAGTCTTCAGAACACTCCAGTCTGGCTTGCCCTCCCCTCCCCTCCATCTCCATCACACCTGCATGAAGGTCACTGCAGCATGAAGGTCAGTGTAACTCTGCAAAAGATGTCCCTGTCTTGAGCTCCAGGACCTGTGAAATTTGGAGAAAGGAATTAGCAGATGTAACAAGGCTAAGCATCACCACAGATCATTCAGGATTTAGCGTGGGCCTTAGGCCCCATGTTTGTAGGAGAGAGAGCAGTGACAGATTTGACACACAGTAGGTATGAGACTCAGGAGAGAAGGCCAGGTCTCTAAGCCAAGGAATGCTGGAGAATGTGGCAGTCACCAGAAACTGGAAGAGACAAGGAAGGAGTCTTCCCTGAAGGCTTTGGAAGTCTAGAGATGTCTGGGCTCCAGCACTCTGACAGAATAAGTCTTTGTTGTTTCAAACCACCAAATGGTAATTTGTGGTAATCTGTATGGTGACTCTAGGAAACCAATAGTCAACAGTGACTTCCATGTTGCAACCCCCACCCCCCGGTGTGCTGTCACCTCTCTTGTGTTTTGCAACAGTGTTGGGTTCAATGGACTTTTTCTTGCAGTGTCTTCCGGTCCTGGCTTCCAGGGAACCATTTCTTTGTGTCTCATCTTCGGGCCCCTTGCCAGCTCTCAGCTTCTATGGGGTCTGAATGTCTGCTTGTCTCCTTTTGGAGTCTTTCAAGGGATCCCATCCATACCTGTGGCTGTGATAACATCAGCAGCCTTGCTTCAGTACTGTGCAGAACAGGCCCTCTTGATGTGGCAACTTATCCTTCATGGGCATCTATGGAACACACATGAACAGAATCAAACTTTTTTTTTTTTTTTTGCTTTTATTTGCATTTATTTTATGTTGCATTCATTCCCAGGCTGTTTTGTTTCTTTGGTTTCTTCTGGGCCATCCCTTTCTTTTGTGCAGCCTTTTCTTCTGGTTTGGGAACAATATGCTTTTGTTTAGTGGGGATCATCTCAGTGTGGCGGGGGGCTCAGGCTTGGGTTCATCCAGGCACACTCTCCATAAGCACTGTGCACACGTAGGTGCTTTGTCCCCTGCGTGTGCTCAATGACCGCAGAACTCCACCTTTTTAAGCAGATGCAGCTAAACCTTGGTACTTCTTTTGGGCCACTGACCCTGGGTCCAGTCCCACAGGGATGGCATACCTTGCTTCTGTAAAGTAACATCTTTCAGACACTCAGTGGCTTTCAGGGCAGGCGTACCCTTGATGGCCTGAGCAGTTCCACTGTGCTCTTAAAGGGAATATGAAGATTGGAATCTCTGGATTTTCATGATTTTGTAGGTTTTCTGAGTTCAGTTGAAACCATCTTCGGAGATCACCTCAGGCTGCTTGTGTGAAGGGCACAAGATAAATTTCTGATCTTCATTAAACACTATCCCAACCTCCCATTCCTTCTTTGGTTTCTCACATGTGGAGAAATGGTATCTTCACCCAACACCAGTACTCTCCGACAAACCTGGGAGTCCCTCTTCCTCTGAGCAAGTCTTGTTGATTTAATGTTGAAAATATATCTTGACCCCATTTACTTCTCTTTTTCACCATGTTGTGATCACATGGATATTCTCTCACAGGTCTCTCACACAGATCCTGGCTGGTTCTCCACACAGCCACTCAGCACTTTCAATAGATCAACAGATCACCCAAAACCCCTCCACAGCACTCCACAGCCCCCCATGAAATGAGCACCAAGTCCAAACTCAGCGAGGCCATTTGTGACCTTGTCTCCACACGGAGTCCCTCTCTTGGCCCTGCTGTGCATAGTGGATCCTCTGAGAGCTTACCAAACGTTTCCATCCTTGGGTTATCTCTGCTTCTGGTCTCTTCTTCCGAGGGAACTCCTGACAGGTTTGTCCTGTACTCTTCCCCTGGCCACATTATACCAGCTTCTCCTGTTACTTCCTCTTCCGTAGAACTCATCTTTCCCAACAAAGAACTTGCCACCGTCAGTAACTCCACACTAGGACTGCGTATTTGCTCTCTCGCCAACTGGGTTGCTCCCACACAGTGATTGTGTCTGTTTCTCCTCATGGAACACAGAGAGCCTAGCTCAGGGGAGGCCCCACAAATATTTGTTCAACTGATTCTCCATCATCTCTTCTACTTCCTTCATCTCCACAAGCATATGCTGCAGGGGAAAGGGTCTTTGGTCACCCGCAAGGAAACAAAGGCAACACCCAAAACTTCAATTGTATGAAAACCCAAAGACAATGTTTTACAAACATATAAATTATTTTATTTACAAAGCCAGGTTACAAAAAAAAAAAAATACAATCGCTCACTGGAGAATATTTCCAGGCCTGGTGGTGAACCACTCCGTATCAATAGATACACGTTTGTTCTTTCCTTTTAAAACTGTAAGCCATAGAATTTACTATTTACACCTACTTCAGACATTTATTCTGCTTACAATATCACAGGCATGGAATGGGTTCTATCTGATAGTGCTAAGACATAAAGGTACGGGACCAAGGAGGAAAATACTTAGTGTTACAAAATATGGATCGTAGAAAAGAACCCCACTCACAAGTGTGGCATTTGTTTAGAATGATTGGACATGCTTTCTTCAAAATTCTTCTGGAAAAGAGTCTAAAATTGGTAGTAGGAAAGGACAAATGAGCAGGTGCAAATTCTTGTCTGTGCAACAACAGTTATTTAATACCCCATGACTGACCAGCTACGTAAAACCCACAGAGTTTTGTTAAAGTGCCATGGGCTGACAGCATAACAAAATAGAAGGTGTAAATAGAAAATTTCTTTTTTTTCCTTTTTTAAAACAAGAGTTCACTGAGAATCAGCAATAATAGAATATGCTGTATAAACTATTCTCTACAAAGGTTGATCAGCATTATTTACAATTGGTACATTAATACAAAAGAAGGCATACAAGTAATCCAAGTCGCTTTTTTAAATTATATGGCTGACAGGTCTATGCATTGCGTTATGCTTAACAACCACAGCTTTCGAGCCTCTAGATGGCTGGCGACAAGTCAGGAGATCTTCAGGCAAATAGGGGTGTGTGCAGTCAAGGGGCTGGGAGAGAAGGCCCAGTGGGGTGTGTGGAACAGAAGGACCGGAAGGAGATCACCCTAATAATGATTATAGGCTGGTCCAGTTGAACTCCATGAAAACAAACCCAAAGGAAACCTTTTATTTGCATTCCATTTGTTTTTTTCAAGCTGCAAATTTTTTCTTTAATACATCATTATTAAGTAAACCTGTGGTTGATTGCAAAGGAAGAAATACCGTGGGTTTTCCCTTTTTTCTCAGTTTTCCAGAAATGTCCTCACCTTGATCAAAGCCAGTCTTTTGAGAAAGTAAGCAGCATTTGGTGGGGAGCCTCTTTTAGTCCAGCTTCCGATTTGAGACGTAGAAAGCGAAAATGTTTATACCTGTCGAGTTGTTCTTCAGTCTCTGTTGAGACGTTATTTCTCAGAAGCAGCCACTCAATCTCTCAACCTTTGTTTTCCCTCTCTGAGTATGAGTTTATAAATCAGAGGGTTATTTTGTTGCTGAGATTTTTTTTGTTTTGTTTTCACTCCTGCAAGTTTTACAACTCAAAATAAATTATAAAAAACAATAGACTTCTAAAACTGAACAAGACAAAAATTGTGCAAAAATAACAAAGATTATGTACACACTTTTCAGTCTGAAGAAATGTACAATAAAAACATAATTCAAAGAACATTTAAAAAATATAAACATTGCTTAAACTTTCCTAAGTTTCATATTGTTTCTGAAACTATTCTGGTCAGTTAGCTCTGTAATATAGTAAAACATAAATTATTACAAAATTAACACTATAAAAATTTTCTTTAAGAATATCTTCTGAACTTTTTTCAAAGGGTCTAACCTTGTTTATAATTTCTTAAACATTTGTAAGTCTTAAAATCTGCCTTAACCTTTTAAAAAACAAATAAACAAAAAGTAACAATCATCCCTTTAATTTGCAGTCTCTTTTTTTCCCCCAAGACGTAAATAAACCAGCATATAAGTGCACTTTTAACACTGTAGAAATGAAAATGAAATCATCTAAACTAATGTCCTGGTACTTAATATCGACTCCTGATTTTTTTAAAAAAATCTTCCTTTTATACTAAAAATTTTGTAATCCTATAAGAAACACTGTCAGTGCAATTCCATTGATTCAAATCGCTCCATTCGCCTCCCGGCTTTGTGGATTCCAATCATGTGACACTTAATAGTAGTCTGATCTTTGGGTTGGGGGGTCGGAGAGTAAAGGAAAGGCCAGGGTGGGGATGAGGGTGGCACACTCCTGCTTGGGTTCAGGGTGACACAGATCCCCAGGCACCTCTCCTATCTACTCTGTCACCTGTCGCACACGGTGCCCTGCTCCTGACCGGGATTCCCTACCAGAGGTTCTGCTACTGCTGCTTCTCTCCAAGCTCCAGTGTGCAGCACTTTGGAGCACTTGGTGGGGAGGCTGTTGTTCAGCCCTTCCACATGGCTCTTTTTCACCGGAGTGGCTGTCTTCACCACCACCTCGGGGCTGGGCATCTCTGCGTCACGCATCCAAACATGGAGCACGAGCTCATCTTGGCTGTGCAGGCAGTGCTGTATTTATTCTCACCAGGGGATCACACCCAGTACTCCCAGGAGGCTGGGCCCAGAGTGCAGCTCCGGCTCTGCACACTCACTGTGCCTTGGAACGGATGCTGCACAGTGGATTCCTAACAAGCGCAGGCCACATAATCACCTGGTTCCTACCATCTTTTAAGGGATCTTGTCCCCATGCTCTAATTCCTGCCACCCTCCCGGGCCCCTCTGCATCTGCCTGACCCGGTGGATCTTTGCTGAGCAGCACAGCCGGTTGGTGGTGGTGGTGGGCAGATCACATCATTAAACGGCCCTATTTCTGTTGGGCCCAGCCAAGGGGAACTGTGGAAGCCTGTTGAGGGCACCCTGCCTGTCCTCCACTCTCCCCTCCCCAAGAGGCTGTCCCAAGGGGGCTGGGGGCAGCTAGCGACCTCTGATAGCCAGTGTGAGTGGCAGGTAGGGATGGAAGTAAACGGGCAGGAGAAGATGAGGAAGGGAAAGAGCTCTGCATGAGCTGAAGTTCAAGAGCTTCAGACGGTGCCAACCTGGAACTGACATTCTGTGACCTCTGCCCTCAGGACCCGAGCAAGGTGACTGTGCAGTAGTAGCATCAGGAGCTGGGGCGGGGACACCTACATTTGGAAGAATGTAAAAACATGGCAAATGAAAACAACGAAGAAAACACTGGTATTGTTTTCTGTAAATCTCAAGTTCATATTCTTTTGCCTTTTTCTTCAAAACTAAAAGTTTGTCAATTAAGAAAAAATAAAATGAAGAAGAAGAAGAGGAGGAGGAGAAGAAAGGCCAGAGCACAGGCAGGGTCCAGGAAACACATTCCCCTATGCCCACTCCCCTCCCTCCTCCTGCTGTGTGGCCGCCTGGTGCCGGTCACGACCAGGTACTGGTTTGGAAGTGGCTTCATAGTCTTGTTATGGAAGAGTCCTTATCCTGCCCATTCTGTTTGTGTTCTTCTAGGAAAGAAAAGAAAACCTTTTTCAAAACCATACATTTGGGACGATCCATGAGAACTCAGGGACAGAGCCTCAGTATTCTCATCTAGAGCAGAAAGGATAACACCCCAATTATGGCACTGCGAGAGACACTAGGGGCTGGATGCACTGCAAAGGAGCTCCTGCGAGCAGGCACGATGGTCCTACAGTGGAAGACAGATGGTCCTACAGAGGGAAGCTCAGGGCAGATGCCATAGTTCATGGAATTCCTCTCCTGGAGGCAGGTCTGGAAAAATTCAAGTCTTCACTTTTTTCTCCATTGGCTCCCTTTTCCCTACATAACCGATCGCGGAACATAACACATCCAACATAACCTGCTGCACCTGGTTAAACATAGAGGCTTTGGAGATACAGATTTTGGGTTCGAGTTGTACTCAGGAGGCACAGCTCCCCCAGGACCCTTCCTGGTCCCCCAGATTCTCACGAGTCCCTTTGTCTCGTGCAGGCTTATACAACTGCTATTGCAGTGCCCTTAGGAAGTAGGCATCAACTGGCCATTTAACAGATGCCAAAGTCTGCTTAAGACCAGACAGCTGGTAAGAATAATGATGGTGGTAATAATCATCGCCAGCACTTGTGGGTTTGCTGCATGCCAGACATTTTCAAGAGGCTTCATGTAAATAAGTTAATTTAATCCTTAAGGAGCCCATGAGTTTGGGGGCCCTAATGATTTCCACTTTCTAGACAAGGAAATGGAAACAGAGAATTTAAGTAACTTGCTCAAGGACACACAGCTAGTAACTAGGAGGCCTAAGCGTGGAAGCCAGGTAGCTATTCTCTAAGAGGAGGGGAGATTTCACCCCCGGCCCGTTCTTTCCACCATGACTCTGGATTTTGCTCCCAGTAACTTACCTGTCGGCTGTGTCCTGGGCTGGGGATGCTTGCAGGACTGGATTGTGACAAAGCTAGGCTGCTATTTTTCCCAACCTGAAAGACACCAGTGAAGCCCACTCAGACCCCCAAGGCAGTGCAGGGGAGGCTGGATAGACAGACACCACGTGTCACTGGGGGAAGAGGTACCTCATCCTCGCTGCTGGTCCGAGCAGAGCATGACCGTGGCTCAGAGGGTGCCTGGAGGAGGGAGGTCCCCAGTGGCCAGGCTGAGTCTCAGGGCCAGGGCCTTGGCAGGAGCCCCCTGCCTGCCCCACCACTGAGCTCTGTGGAGGCCCAGCCTGCCCACCTCTGGGTAGGTAGCCACCAGGCCCATCTTGCTTTAGATTGGATTTCTTTGGAGCTGCTGCAGACACCTGGGCCTGTTCCCGGTCAGGTTCCCCGACAGGACACAGTGCAGGGAACCAGGGGCCAGGTGAGGAGGCTGCTGTGCTGAGTGGGGTCCCTGCAGCTCCCTGCACAGCGGGACTGGAGGTGCAAGGGTTTGGTCCTTCCTGAGGTCCTCAGGGAACAGTCCTGTATCTTGCTCATCTGCAAAGCCAGCTCTGGCCTTTGGCCTATCCACACCTCCTCTTCCTCCACCTTGACACCTCAGGCTGCTTTCCTGATCAGTTTCACACCTTGGTGGCCAACTCTATCAGGTATGAGAAGATGGACCCTCACGTTGTCTCTTCTCGCAGACCCTAACAGAATCAGCACAGACCCCCAGATCTTCCTTCCCAGCACATGAACTTGTGCCCTGGACAGAGCCTTTTCTCCCTGGGCTGCAGGAGGGAGCTGGAGAGGCCCAGCCCCCAGGCAGCAGCTAAGTGCATTGGGTTTTGTTTTTCTTAAATTCTTTTTTTTGGTACCGGGGATGGAACTCAGGTCCTTGTTGTTGCAAGGCAGACAGCAGAACCACTGAGCTAAATCCCCAGTCCTTAAATTCCCTTCTGATGAGCACCCTCTGGTGGAGGCTTCCTTGCTCTTTTTGACCCTGGTTTTGGCAGAGTTGTCAGAGAGAACTACCTGTGCTCCTCCTGTGGGCAGTGCTCCCAGTGGAGGTTGAGAGCCTAGACTCCAGAGCCAGAAGGCCCGGGTTTACACCCCAGCCCTACGATTCACTTGCTGTATGATTTTGGGTACCACACCTAACTTCCTGTGCCTTGGTTGACGCAGTAGTAAAATGGGAGCACTAACAGGTAATAACTGAGTTAATATCTGAAGAGCTGGCTCACAGACCATCATAGGTGCTCAATGTTAAAAATGATCCAAAAACGAGTGGGACACTGTGGCCACCTGGACTCCTAGGCCCCTCCTGGCCTGCTCACTCCACAGCTGCCTTTTCACAAGAGCCCTGGTGTGCACAGGTGTGCACACTCTGGTTTGAGCAGCCCTGGCTGTGCTTGCTTCAGCCTGAGACTAGAGGTGACACACAGGCAGTTTGGTCTCCAGGGAAGACCCCGAGGGTGCCACCCCATAGCCCTGGATCCAGGAGTCGAGGCTGTGGCAGGCACAGGCAACAAGCCCAGGTCTCGCCTCCTCTCATCTTGGCCACATCTGCAGCTGTCTGGCCTTGGGTTCCACACTTGCTGCTGCCCTCGTGTATGCTTGTGACTTGGGGGTCCCCTCAGGAGGTGTTCCTCATGGGGTTTTAACAAGTCTCACACACAGTGACACAAACATGAAAACACCTTTTAACAGCTGTGTCCCACTTCTCCAGAGTCCTCCTCCTGACTCATGGCTGGCCCACCTCTGTGTAGTGGTAAACTGCAGGCCTGGGGGCAAGACTTGGCTGTATTTCCACTTGGGACACTCAGGCCAGAAGGAGCGCCAGGCTGTGCCTTCTCCTCTCATTGCTAGGCTGGGGGTAGGGTGGCCTTTCCTAAGCAGGCCCCTCAAGCTGAGGAGACAGTCTGGATTTGAGGTGGGATCATGGCCCAGGAAAACACAGTTTCTTTTGGGGCCAGCCTCTTGTTCCTGGGTTCTACACAACACATACTCCTGCCGTAGCACCGCACAGGGTGCTGCTCTGTCCCCAGGTGGTGGCTGAAGTTTTACATTAGGAAGATGGTTATATTAGGAGGAGGTGGGGCTTGAGGCAGCCTGGAGAAGCAAGAAGACCGGTCACCCAGGAACCAGGCACACACACAGGCTACCACTCATTCCCCAGGTGAGACCCTGGGGTCATTAAACCTGCCTGGGGCCCGGGCTCTTCCTGCAGGGCTTGCAACAGATCAGAGCAAACTTCTTGGCCACAGAACTCTTTAATGAAATCGTCCTTAGAACCTCAAGATATAAAACAGAAGAGGAGCGGGGAAGCCAGAATCTCCGCGTGCCTCAGTTTACTCATCTGTGAAATGGCGACAACAACTGTACCAGCTGCACTGGGTGGGAGTGAGGACTAAATGAGATCAACTCTGCAAAGTGCTTAGCACAGTGCCTCATGCACAGCACTGGTTGAAAAAGACACTCTCAGAGCAGAGGGTGCAGATGGCCTACATGGGACATGAGAAAAGGAGTCACACTTGTGTCACCTGTCTGAGCCACCTGACCAAGCAGGGGCACTGCCCAGCTCCCCCTGCCCCCCACAGCCGATGAAGGCAGTGCCAGGAGGTCCCTTACCTGCCGAGAGGAGGTGCTGTTAACGGGATCGGGCACCGGTGCAAGAAGGCTGGGTGGGTTCTTTTTGTGAACACTATTCATACCAGGCATTTTAGTGATTTTACAGGCTTTGCTACTAGCACTCGAGTTCTTACGCTTTTTTCCTTCTGATTTGTCAAAAGAGAGGGGCAGAGAAGACACGGCATTGTGTGAGGCCAGAGAGAGGTCCCCCGCGTGGAGCGCGAGGGAGGGCACAGAGAGGGGACAGGAGTCACTGCTGCCGCCCGCCGTGCCCACCTGTCTCGCTATGTCCGCGGGGCCGCCGGGCATCGAGGTCCGTCCTGAGGGGTCCAGCTTGGCACTGAGTGGGCTCACCCCATTGTTGGAGCTGTGCACAGGCAGACTGGTATAGGGAGGGGCCACCTGATAGGAGTTCAGAGCGGAACTGGCATTCAAAACACAGTTCTTTTTGTGGGGCCCTGACAGTGGAGACGTAAGGGAGGTCTGCAAGGACAGGGAGGAGGAGGAGGAGGAAGTCGAAGGCTGCGGCTTCCTCTTTTTGTTACTTGGAGACTCGTCGCTACGGGCGGACAGGTCTTTGACTTTTGAGGATTTGCTGGTTTTGGTTTTGGATGGCTTGTGGGACGGGGAAGGGATGACGGCTGGTATCGGGGAGACGGCGGACGGGGCCTTGAAGGTTGAGTCCATGATGCTGAGGGTTGCGGCCACATGAGGGAAAGCTGTGGTGTGGGACATGAGGACGCGTGGGTCCGACGATGCCACAAAAGCTGCGTCTGAGAGCATGGCGGATGTCATTATGTAAGAAGAGGCGAGTCTCGAGCTGATGGGAGCTGAAGGAAGATACACAGCACCGGGGTTGCTGAAAGGCTGCAAAACGGATGCTGGCACGGGGGTGGAGATGTGAGCTGCTGGCGAGGGCATGGGGCTATCTGCCGCGGGAGGGATCTTCCTACACATGAGAGAAGAGCCAGAGAGAAACAGTGAGATGTCAGGTTGGCGCTGCCGGGGAGGCTCCGTGACATCTAAGCATCGGGGCGACAGAGGACACCCAGCAGGACCAGACTATGGAGGATGGAGTCTGGGAGGATGGAGGGTCTGAGGATGGCCCTTCCTCACGCTGCCCCGCTGTGACACAGCAGCTACCCGTGGGTTTTCTCATCCCCAGTTATTTCTCCGTGCTCGGCTACTGGAGCATGGCTTGGGGTTCATGAATGAAAGACGTTGGTATTCAGGCTACATGGATCCCAGCAGCCTACCCACTCTGTCTTTTGTTTGTTTGGCAGTGATGACGGTGGTGTTTTATAAGCAGCAGTCATTTCACATTTCACAGCTGGAAACAGGGGGGCAGAACTTGGCCACCTGGGTATGTGGGCCAGAGCTCCCGCTCTGCCCACTGCAACCCTGTTCCCATCCCCTGCCCCCCATCCTGTGCTTGGCTGGAGAATCCCAGGAACAGCTCTGTCCCCACAGCCAGCATCTTCCTGAGTTTGCAGTGTGCCTCCTCTGGTTACTCCAGGGAGAGGCAATTCCATGCTAGCTTGTGGCCACTAGCTCCTGGGGGCCACGGGGGGTGGGGCTTGGGAAATGACAAAGACGATGTGTCTCCGTTTTAACACCCCAGCCTGCCTCAGCTCTTGCTGGCGGGGTCATCACGGGCTGTCTCTCAATAGGTCTTCCTGTCTCCATCAGGAACAGGTCAGAATGTGAGGACCCTTGTGCATCCAGAGAAGGGGATGGGAATTTCTAGTTTGTTCTGAACACAAGGCAGGAATTGAGGAGGGGGAGCAATATGGCCAGGGGAGGGGAGCCAGTGTTTTCCTCTATGGTCTTGCTGAGCTGGACGTTGAGGGTGACGCCTTTGAGCTGAGTCCCTGGGGCCCAGGCTGGCATCAGGCAGAGGTTCATTCTTGGGCCTCTCTACAGACTGTCTTGTGACCTGTGCTGGAAATGGTTCTCTCTTATGATCTCTGGCCTAGGTCGGTTCTGCTGTTGCTGGGGACCAGGGGAGGCACAACAGCTGTGGGTGGTGTCACCCCCTGTTCGTGATATTGTAGGAGAGGCCACTGAGCTCAGGGGCTGAGTGTGCTCAAGCTGGTTCTTCCCCATCTCTTACACTGATCCCCTCCGTATCCCTGGGAGCTGGTTTTCACAGGCTCACCATATGGCTAGGAACTAGCCTTCTTTCTCTGAAAGCGGCACTTGATGGCAGGTGGGCCAGGGGCTCGGGACTCATTACGGGATAGGCCCTCACCCTGCCCCTTTCCTCTGGAGGCTGCCCTCCAGCTGTGCAACCAGGACCAGGTGCCAGGGGACTCGGGACAGAGGCTCCATGGAGAAGTAGGTGCCTCTCCTAGCATTCCTCTCTCGGAACAATCCCTTCTCTGCCTGAAAGCGGTGGGGCCTGGGGCTTTCATCTTCAAGGTGGAATCCAGAGGAATCCTTGAACACAGAAGCACAGTGTCCTTGAAAATGTCAAGAGAAAAATGTTGCCAAACCCACAGTGGCCATGATGGCGATGGAGACCTGACTGTCTCTTGAGACGAAAGAACGTCAAAGCTCCTGTCCGCACTAAACGAGGTGCTCCCAAGTCCTTGTTACAATGAATGAACACGGGGATAGATGGATGAATGGATGGTAGGAGGGTGGATGGGTGAGCAGGTGAATTCTAAGCAGTGACACAACCGTATTGTCAGGGACGATGCATGCTGGGCAAGGACTCCCATAGAACCCGCCCGCAGAGATCTGCACACATCCTCAGAGCTGTCTGGCATTGCCCAGCCCCTTCCTAAGCAGGCTGGGGGACACTTTTAGGACAGGAGGCACCAGCAAACTTTCCTGCTGTCTTTGTCGCCTTGCTGCCCATACTAGTCACCCACTCAAGCTTTCCCCAGCTCCACCTTCCTTCCCAGCTAAAGGAGAGGCAAAAAGACATAGTGGAGAGGTTTGGCAGCTACTTGCAGTGACAGGTGACCTACAGATACCAGATGGGTCATATAGGAAGACCCCACTGGATGACCCTGAATGGGATCCACTCCGAAAGTCCCAATTTATATTTTCCCCATTCAATCACAGGAGTTCACTCTTGAGTGTGTGCCATCCAGTGGAGCTGAAGGCCTTACTCTCACCTGGCCCTCACTCAGGACTGGAACGGGTGCAGCTTTTGGAATACTTTCTGTCCTTGCCTTGCCTCTCCCCGCTAATCCTTGGGGGACATCATGGGCAGGGGAGAAGAGGGGCAAGGGACAGTCCCTGGGAGCCCCTGGCTGTCCCCTGTGCTGAACGGTTCCTATGCTCTCTATCTAGGTGCCAAATGCAGCGGGCTGCAGCTCTGTGGGCTGTGCGCGCTGCCTAGGGAAGTCCCGTGCAAAGCCCACGGACACGGGTAAATTCCTCACAGTGCCCATCCTCCCCCGCCAGCTGGCGTGGAGATCCAGATGCTGACCTGGCTGAAAGAGAATACTGTGCTGGCGTCTCCTGATGCAGAGTTAAATGCTTGTTAAAGAAAAAAGAGTCTTGGCCGTTCTTTTTCTTCCTAATGTCTTCCACGCCCCCATCGGCTGCCATCCCTCCAGGTTCGGGCCCGTCGGGGCCTGGGGTTTGGGCAGCGAGGCCGAGAGGGCAGCGGGGTGCTACGCTCTCCAGAGTTGACACCCAGGCAGCCCCAATGTTGCTCAGTGACAGCAGATTGGTTAGGCAAGTCCTGAACAGGGGGGAGGGACCTGATGCCCGGTGGCTCGGGCTTCTGTGCCTGAGGAGGAAACGAATATGGAGCTTGAGCTGACAGGACAGCAGGGAGCGAAATACAGATCAACACATTCCTTCCACAGGTCTGGGATTTATACTTGCACGACACTGGGGGCAGAGGGCTGGCTGCCGCCTGGAGGAAGAGCCCAGCGTGACACGCACCACACACCAAGGAAGTGAAACTGGGGCGCCCCACAGGCAGTGACCCTCGGCTGAGGTTTTGATTGGACACAGGTAGACATTGCGGGCACCGTTTGCTCCAGGAGTGGTCACTCACGGGGGAAGAAACCATAAGCTTCTCTTGTGGACCTTTCCTGCTTTATGTGAAATGTCAACCTGGAGTCCTACGTGCTCTGTGAGAGCCGGGCAGACACAATGGGGCTCAAGTCTAGATGGTCACCATGCAAAGGGGCTGAGCAGACACAGCTGCCTGACGGGGAGAGGGGACCTAGGGAAGGGGCAAGTTGTGGATCTGTCGTCTCCTGCTTCTCAAGGGCTTTTCTTCCTCTCTTGGGCTTCCTGGGGCAGGGAGGGGAGGGTTGGGACATCTGGAGACCCCCTTTGTAGGAGTGACAAGAGCGACACCCAGAGGCTGGCCTTCTATTACCAAGTGGTCAAAGTGTAGTCCCTTGTGGTTACAAGTGGCCTGGGCCTGTTATTCCTTCCCAATATGTTCTATCTAGTGAATGGCTTCTTTCTTTTTTGTGAATCCCCTATGAAAGTGTAAGCACACTGGGAAGGACCTTTTATTCTCCAGCACTTCCCGAGAAGTGGAATGCAAGCTGCAGTTTAGGGGAGAAAGAGGGACAGGAGAAGTGAGGAGGGCACCCTAGGGAGGTGGGAAGGGCCAAAGACAAACTTAACCCACTTGACAACATTGTGTGGTCTGTCCTGTTGGCAACTGTACATATATTTTCCATAGGTTAGCAAACAACTAGCACTTGGTATATAATCGTTATGAAACATTTAGCATTCTTACTGTAGTATCAACAAACAGCAGCGTATTCTGAACATTCTTAGATGCTCTGAGTACTAATAAAAAGGCCCCAAATGCTATTAAATAAATGAGATCTCCTCTAATGTCCTTTTCCCCGAATGTAGAAGATTACCAGCACAAATAGATCTCTGAGAAGGCAAAGCACATCGTACGTGTTTATAAAACTCTTCAGGAAACCCTTAAGAAGGGTGGACAGTGACTAGTTAGTCACGAATGCTTATTTGGGGGTCATTTTGCTCTATGAAAGCCAGCTTCTGACGTTCATATAGAAAGTTAGGGTTCAGGTAATTTGGGAGCAGCTCTGATCTGATATTGCACAGAAAGTGCTCACTTACTTCCACATCTGTGAATTCAAGTGTTTTTCTACCATGGAGTTTAGCGCGAATCGAAAACGATCCCATCTTCTATCAAACACATAGTACCCTCGTCCCATGAGGCGGCTCCCGAATGAGCAAAACTGTGAAGGAAAAAAAAAATTTTAATTTTGATTACAGGTTAATAAGCTAATATAAACCATACAGAGTAAAATAACATTTGCATAAAAGCACACAGGGGTACCGTTTGACTCAAAATAGAGAAGCAAATAGTACCAAAGCTAAAAATATTTCTGTGATGCTGTGGTTTGAGCTTTGGAGTCTATGGAACCTCACACTGTGACTGGACAATGGCTACGTTCAGCTTCCTGGGGACTCAGAGGGCTGGATCCTTCACTCCCGGGACTGAGCCAGCATTTTAGAGTAACAGGGAAAGACACAACGATAATCAGCAGCTAGGGCAATTTCTGTCTCGTCATCATCATCCAGCCTCTTGAGGGCCTCGGGGTTCCCTGCCTCCCATCTCAGGCCTGGGCGCTGCTGGTTCTGTGTTCCCGGTCAGCCTTCTTAGCTAATGTCACAGAGCCACTTCCCTTCCCAGGCCTGGCCTCAGCCCCATGACACATCTCACACCTATGACTCTTAGTTCCATTTGACCTTGGGGTCACTGTGTGGCTGTGTGAGGTCTCGTGACGAAGGCCCACGTACCCAGTGACCACCAATGTCTAAAGACTGGGGATCTCATTCTATTCCTCTTCAGCACAAGGTTCATAGAGATTTGTGGTAAAGCACGGATTAGTGAGACAAACAAAAATGTTTAAAGCAAACCACTGCATTTAAAACACATGGCTGATGGCAAGCTCGAGGCCTCGAATTTGATTCCCAGTACCAAAAAAGAAAAAAAACAAAACAAAGCAAAACAAAAAACACCCCACCAACCCACATGGCTGAAATATGGGCATTCAGAGGCTTAATAAACACTATCTGATTATGATGTCAGGACAACCGGAAGGCCAGTAGACAGAAATCCAAGTGGTGGCCTCTGAGAAGATGACATTTTGGCTGGTCTGGAGCACAGGCGAGCCTGCAGATGACTCTATAACTCAAATACAGCTCCCCGTCCTCAGGTCTCCCAGCCGCTCCCTGGCCTCCGTCCCAGACACAGCACTGGGTTGGCAGCCACTCCACAAACTCATCCTGGAGTCTGCCTTTGGAACAGTTCTCAGGAGGAAATGCAGGACGTCCCCTTTGTTCCCCTTCACTTGGGTTTTTTTTGCGGGGGGGTTGCATTAAATTCCTGACACCACCAAATCTGGTACAACTGACGAAAAACACTTCTCTGCAACCTTCACATTAAGTTCTTTTTTTGACCAAGCCAGAAAACATACAAGGGAATTCTCTGACACAGATGCTACTCCCAGCTATCTGCGGGAGCTGTCCCAGGTCTAAACATAATTTCTTCCTTCATCTCAAGTGCAAGGACAAGCGAATGAGCAGTATGTCAGTTGACCATGAGAAAACAAAGCAAAGAAACAAATCACAGCTTTCCCATTTAAACCAGCAAAACACGAGGGACACACAGATGCACCAGTACCCAGGGCACAGCTTACGTCCTTCCAACAGAGGTCGTGCTGTTTCCAGGGTCTGGCCTTCTGATGGAGCCTGTGTCTCTTTCACAGTTGAGAGCCAGAGGTGCCTTTCATCTTTGGCTGCCTGTGCATCCAATTTCACACAGGTGCAGGGCAAGGCGGCCGGCGGGCACCTGTTCCGCTGCATGTTGTGTGCTCAGAAGAGCTGTGGCTTGTCCCCGTGGCCATCGTGGCAGACCCGGCCAGCCACCAGCCTCACCTGTGTCCACTCACACCTGGGCCTGTCTTTCCCTCGCTAAAAGGACTAGACTTTCGTTCTGCTATCTGCCCAGCAGCAGTACCAGGGAAGGTGTGTCTCCTCCCAGAACCTCGCAGTGGCGGTTCCTCAGCCCTGGGACACTGTGAAGACACTGAAGCAAGCCTCAAGACTTCTTCCTATGTGAGACAACGAAATGTCCTCTGCGCTCACAAAGATGAGTTTTGAGTTTCCTACCATTGCCAAGAAAAGGCGTCCCACACTGTCCCTAAGTCTTTCTGTACCAGCCAAGAGACAAAGTCCCAGGCTGTGGGTGAGCCAAAGTAGCCACCTTGCCCAGACACAGGAAGTGGGTGTGGCCCTGTCTCACTGCACAAGACAGGAGGGAGGGAAGGCTCACTCGGTCTTGCTGCAGGACTGATTTCCCTACAGTTCCTGAGATCTGTTCAGTCGTCCCAGGGTAAACCACATGGGGTGCCCTGTTCCAGGCCCCCTGCGTTTAGCTCTGTGACAGCTGCACAAGGCGTTTCCCTCCTCAGGGCTCCATTGGCAAATGTAATCCAGCCTCCATCCAGCTAAGTCCTCCATTTCCCACTCTGGGTCCAGTGACCTTGTGAACCATCAAAGTGGACTTTGCCCCGCTATGGGAAATATGCCCTTTTTGTTAATAAGCAATCAGGCTGACACAAAATACCTCCTCCTGTCCTCAACACTCTCAGTTCTGTGCCACATGGTCACAGGACAGCAAAACCTGGAGCCCTGTCAACAGCTGGCACCTGACAGATTGCTAATACAGTTTCCAGAGCGGGTGGCCCCGCTAACTCTGGGTACCAGGGGTTCCACGTGTAGATGGGCAAGGCCAGAAGGGCAGCTCCCGGGTACACGCCCAGAAACACCCTTTCTGTAGCAGCACTTCACGGGACAGCCGACACTTGAGTGTTTCAAGGGTGACTGCCAGCCGGAAGCCCTTCCTTTTGCTTTTTTTTTAAAACATGAACCTGTTGATCCTTTATTTGTTTTTTGTTTTTGGGTACCGGGGAATGAACTCGGGCCCTTGCATTTGCAAGGCAGGTGGTGGAACCATTGAGCTAAATCCCCGTTGTGTCCTTCTGCTTTGTGATATCAAGGGCATTTCCAACTGGGGGATCCAACCTCACAGAAAGCCTTTTGGTAAAGGCTATCCTAGTGCCCTTTGCTCTGGACTATGTACCTCTGTCAAGATCGCCATGGTGTCTGCAAAGCACGAGGAAAGGATGTGGAGGGACAAGAGAGGTCTTACCGCGAGAGGTCTGGGGTGGTGCGTGGAGAACTGGCAATCTAACTTCTCAGATTCCTCGGCTCCATCCATTTCCCCTTCATCACTGGACAGCCGGCTGGCGAGGTCCGCTCCAACTGGGGGCAGAGGGGGCTCTGGAGTGTAGGCGCTGTGATTTGAGGATGCGCTGCTGCTTATGCTATTTGCAGATGAGGGTCTAAGAGCAAGAGGGGAGAACAAGAGAATCAACTTTTCTGCTGTTAACAGGATCCACCCAATTTCATGGTGTCCAGAGAGCAGCCTGGTCAGCCCGGCCAGCTCAGGGAGGACAGGTAGATGGCAATTTTGCAAGAGGGAAAAGATTAAGGCTAAGGCTGAGAGGTCACACGGTCAGCTCTGAACAGTGACAGTTTCTGTTACCAAACTTGTCTTCTGTAAGTTCAGTTACGACGACTCACCCATGTGCACGGAGGTCGTTTGTACTTGCCCAATGCAGCAGTTGCTTCTCTTCGAAAGTGCAACCAGGTGAACAAGACTAACCCGCTCACAAAATACCCATAATGAAGAAACAGGCATACAGATACTTCCTTTGCTATTACATTACAGCTTTAGGAACTAAAGTGGCATGAAAAAAAGGTTGTTACAATGATAAGCCACTGGTCCCTTCTTCCAGTCTGTTTGTTTGTTTGGTACTGGGGATTGAACTCGGGTCCTTGTGCTTGTGAGGCAGACGGCAGAACCACTGAGCCAAATTCTCCACCCTCTTCCAGTTTCTTAATACCAACCTTTGTGTAGTTTAACAGTATCTTCTGAGAATAACTGTTTCAGTGTAATTTTTGGCAAGCTACTTTATCTACTCCCTGGCATGGTCAGTTCATTGTAGGTGCTGGAGAGAAATTTTTCTCACTGGAGGAATGGGTGAATTCTATGAGACTGAGAACACCTAACAGGTGTCATCTCAGCTGTGACTATAGTTATAAAAAACAAACAAATACGTCACGACAACAGGTAGCACTATGTATTTCTAAGCAGTAAAGAACAAAGCAAGCCCAAACTGGGAACAAACACATCCATATTAGTAGAAAAGTTAAAAGAGGAATAGTTGTTAGTATTTTTTTCTACTTTTTCAGTTTTATCTGATGGTTGATCAAAAAGAGGGGGCAGAGACAGGGATAAAAAGATTTTGGGAGGAAAAACTCGAGGCTTTTTTCATTAGAAAATTGCTTTCCTGCTTTGAAAGTTGCTCCTTCAAATCATAGGGGGGAGCACTTTTGACTTGTTACCTTTGTCTCTCCTTTTCTCCCTGGACTTTTTGTTGCCTTGAAATATTTTCAGGTCTCAGAAGCAGATTCCAAAAAACAGTCATTTAAAAAGAAAGGAATAGTGGTAGAAATAACCCACATATCTCCCATAGATGACTAGATAAAGAGACCATGGTGTATACAGATGCAATGAAATATTCAAGCCCCCCCAAATGAATGCTATGCTGATGTTCACCACCCCAGGGATGAACCTTGAAGGCATTATGCTAAGTGAAATAAATAAGCACAAAGGACAAATATTTTACAGTTCCACACACCAGATAGAAAAGTGGTTATTAGGAGCTTGAGAGAGGGAGGGAAAGGGATTTAGTATCTAATGGGTACAAAGGCTCAATGGTGGCAAAGAAAAAGCTCTGGGGACGGATGGTGGTTGCCCTATACGATGGTGAATATATTTAAAGTAATTAAACCATACATTAAAAGTGTTTAAACGGCACCTTTTATGTTATATATATTTTGCCACAAAAAAACAAAGGAGAACAAGGCCATCAGTAGTTTTGCAGTGTCATAAAAATTCAGTTGGGGTGACTGTTTATTATTGACTCTCACCTTCCTGTACTTATGAAAACAAGAATGCCATTCACTCTGCATGCTAAGGGTGGACAGTTCGAAGGCACTACCTCCCACTGTTCTCAATATCTACTCTTCTGTGCTGGAAAGGGAAACTATATTACTTGCTTACAGCTGAGGACCAGATAGCAAAACCGTTCACACGATGCTGAAACATGGACAGAAAACAGCACTGTACCCTGACACTCAGGATCAAGTACTGTCAGAGTTTTAATTCGTGTGTTTGTATCTTCTGTGCATACACATGGAGTGTGTGTGTGCATGTGTGGCTGGCCTTGAGCTTGTGATCCTCCTGTGTCAGACTCGAGAGTAGCTGAGATCACAGTTATGCACATGCAGTTTACTTTTTTTGGAGAGGGTACCGGGGATCAAACTTGGGACCTTATGTTTGTGAGGTAGGTGGCAGAACCACTGAGCTAAATCCCTGGCCCTGCCCATGCATTTTAAACTAAGACCTGGGTAACACTGGTACATATGATTTTAAGACATCCTTTAAGAAAGCCTAGTGATGCTGTGGGAATCTTTCCATGTATCTTTTGAAAATACCCTCTGTAATGTGTAGTATGGACATGTAATAGTTAAGTAACTGCTAACGACGAACATTTATGGTGTTTCCAAGTGTCCTCATAGGGTCTTCTTGAAGTGTTCCTCACCATGACAGGACCACCCTCTCCTGCACAGTGAAAGCGAGTTCGGTTTTGTTAAGTGTGACATTGGCAGCACGGCTATACAGCAAATTATCTTTATTTTATAAAGATGCTTTTGGAAGCCTTTGGAAGTGAATGTCATGATATCTGCAACTTAGTTCAAAATACATCATCAAAATATGTAGAAAAAGCACATGTTCCAAAATATTCACATAACAACTTGAAACTAGGTAGGTGGGTTTCATTATACTATTATCTTGACTTTTATTCACATGAAGAAAGTTCCATAACAAAAGTTTAAAAAAATGAAAGTTTATAGTACACATACATGTAAAGAAAGTTACCAAAGAAGTCATGTGTTTTTGTGTACTTTTATTTTTCTAGCTTTATTGAGGTATATATATAATATATATAAATAATATATAT